GACAGGAAGGTTTTCAATGAGATGGCCAATACAAACTTGCATTGGGATAGATTGCAGTATAGAACCATTATGTAGCTCTGTAACATTCTAGAGATGTTCATGTGAATGAGGTGAGAAAGTGACAAGTTAGACAGCAAAGGGTTTGTTGACTGGTTTATGTATGGCTTTCACAATCCTGGGAACACAATTCCACATATTTCAGAATAGCAGTCCTTACAAATGGACACTTTCCCCCAGGTTATGCTTCCTGTCTTGTGGGGTGACAACACACTATACTGTATTTACAGAGCAGTTGTTACCCTAGAACAGAGGTAGGCAACCTGCGGCTCTCCAGCTGTTACAGGACTAGAAGTTCCATCATGCCTCTGTAAGTCATAGCAGTAACTGTCAGTATTGTAACGTTGCAATGCCTCATGGGAAATGTAGTTCCACAACAGCTAGAGAGCCACAGGTTGCCTACCCCTGCCCTAGAAGCAATATGGCTACAGAAAAATCATCAGCAATGCACATTTGGCATCATTTGACTATCTTGAGGTAAGCAACACATTTTTAGTTCCACAATAGTGCAATGTTACTAGAAGGCCTCATGCAGTTGTCAAACATCTGTGGCAGAAATCTGAAAGTACTAAAAAATTGAATTCAAGAGGAGCTTTGTGGTAGAATATTGTGGTCAAAAGAAACAAAGGCCCAAGCGATTGATGCATCTAAACAATGCAGCTTAGGTGTAGTTTTGAAGCAGCTTTTCTCCTGTTAGAGAACATAAGAAAGCCATGGATGAGGAAGAGAAGAGGAAACTGAAGCTTTAGAACCAGACACAAAGATAAAAGACAAACAGTAACCCAGATTTCCTAACATTTTACATACATATTTTGCATTCCCATACTTTGGACATTACAAAAAAAAAAAAAAAAAAAAAAAAAAAAACACACAACACACACTGTTGGGGCATAGGTTGTTTTGAAAAAATTCAAAAAATTGCCAAGAGAAGTAAAGCCAAATCTTGTTTGACTGTACTTCTGTGGATCACAGAAGTGTAGTTTGTTCTGCACTCCTGTGACCTGGTTTCAGCTGACAGCAGGTTAAAGTCTGCTGTCAGCAGACATCACTCATCCGGTTCAGGCTGGGGAAAGATTACTCAAGAGCCTGGACCAGCACTTGGTTCAGCCTTGTAGTGACAAGCGAGAGCCTAGGCCAGCTGCTCCCACCAACTCCACAGCCCAGCACAGGGAAGTCCAATTGCTCAGTTCTCAGCCTTAAGTCCCGTACACATGTGCTAAATATTGGATGGCATCAGCTGGTTCAACAGAAACTGGCTGATATTTGGCCAGTGTGTACAGCAGCCAGTATAACAGAAACCAAATGTTCGTCTGTGAAAGGGGCATAACAGAAAAAGGTCTGTCGATCAGGCTTCCAATCCAGTGCTTTCAGCCAATGGCTGAGAGCGCTGACTGGGGTGTTCTGTCAGAACACCATAGCACTGCTTGTGTTAGTACAGCGATCTGTCAGGGTATTTTTTTCCGATCAGTCTGCTAGTTTGAACGAAGACAAAAAAATAAAAGAAATGATAGTGTACGGGGCATTAGAGCTGGCGAGGGGACAAACGAAGCATCGGATTGAAGCTGCATCCACCCAAGTAGAATTTTAAAAAATCCATACACAACACACAAACTTAACTACCACTGGTCTAGGAAATGCAAAGTAGTTGTAGGGAATTACAATGAACTTTCAAAAGACCAAAATTAAAAAAAATTTGCATTGTATAAAATCACACACATTTCAAAGCTATGCTTCAATCATTAGGGTTACAAATTCAAAACAACCCAAATCACTTCCAATACTCTAGATGTAAGTTTACCTTACTCGGGCGCGCGCCCACCCAAACATATACACCACTTAGGCATCATACACAGGGGCATACCTATCCATACAAAGGCCTGCCTTCACTCATAAGGGATGCACAGATGTTCCATGGAGGAAGCCTATCCAAATCAGTGACAGGCAGCCAGTTGCACAGTGTCCAAGCACACCCTGGGTCTGATGCATGAAGTCACTCCAAAATACACTGGGAGAAAAATGCAGCCAGCTACCAGTCAGCAATTGAACAGGCTGTCTGCACAAAACACCCACATATTTTGAGCGGGTAAAGACAGCCCTTTGCAAACCTGTACTGTTAGGTATGCCAATGGGAATGAGGCCTCAATAAAATAAACCATTAGAAAGTATATCTAAAGTTAAATTGTAGAACAGTCCGCCCCCCCCCCCCCCCCCCCTCCACATGTCCCATAGGGGAGATTTCCTTTCAGCTCCTGTTTGACAACAGAAAGGATACCTCTTCAAAGAGCAGGAAATACTCAGTCACTTGAGCAAGCATCCACTTTGCAAGAACTCACGATTGTTTTGGCAAAGCCTCAATTTTAGATTTCTACCTCACTTTTAGTCCCGGTGACAACATCCATCAACAGCCCAAAGATGACAGCAAACTGCATAAAACCCAACGCCTTTATTCCATCAATGTAAAAATGTAGACAGCAATCGCAACATGACAGGAGAAAAGCATCTTTTTCATCTATCATTTTATGATTGCTGCCTGTGCCTTTTGATAGAATACAGAAGTTGGCTCTATCCAGTGTGCCGTCATCCTTGGACTATTTGTGTACATAACAGCAAGCTGAACCAGCGCCTGGATGGACAAGTGGTAGACTGGCCAGGAACAACCAGAGCCGTGTTCCTGACAACACCCACCAGGCCAAATACAGAGTGAATCTTCCCCACAGAGGAAAAAAAAAAAAAAAAAAAAAAAAAAAAAAAAAAAAAAAAAAAAAAAAAAACGAGGATGATATTCTAAATACTTTTCCACGCTAAGCAAACAAAATTACAGAGTCTTTAGCTCAGGAGGTGATCAATTTCCTTCATATTGGGTGGGGGATTTGCAGCCTCTGACATTGCCAAAAGGGCCACAGTATGAGACCTCAGACATGCAACAGGAGATAGAGACTGCCAGTGTGCAGCAGGAGTTGGAGGAATGTGGGAACATACTGAGACATTACATGATTGCTAGAAATGTTGGATATTACAGCCCATTTATAAATCAATGCGGCCATATTTGTGCTCCAAACAACCTACTTAATGTCTTGTGCCATATTTGTTTTTAATAATCAAAACCCAAAGAGGAACAGCATAGAACAGTTAAGAAGAAACAAACCCATTTAAATACTATAATCCAGACTAAACAATATATTTCCTTCACAGGACTGAGTACAAACCTAAAGCAAGAAAATACAGACCACTGCGTGTGCAGAGATCCTGAGAACTGCACAATGAACGTCAGCCACTTACACCCTCCACATCACAGATTGAGGACTAGGACTTTGGATGCTGTTAATGTTGTATTAAAACGAATATTGCAGCTTAGCAATTCTTAGATTTGATGACTGCATTCATTTCTTCTCAGCTGGCAACCAAGCCTTATTTTATTCCAACTTCAACTGACAAGGGGTCCAGCAAAAGTGACAGTTAGGAGTGCGGAGATAAACTATTTAAAATTGTCAAGTCAGTTTGCAAAGATCCATTTTTTATTCACGAAAAGAAAAAAAAAAAAAATAAAAAAGTGATTTATATCTTTTTTTTTTTTTTTTTTGAACGGAAAAAGTCTGCTATAACTGCTTATGAGGAGTTGGCTGGAGTCCAGCTTTATTTCATTAGAAAAGTCCTTGGTTCCTGTCTAAATTGGCCCTAGTATGTGTACGTATGAATGGGAGTTAGGGACCTTAGATTGTACACCCCTTGAGAGTTAGGGACTGATGTGAATGTACAATATATATGTAAAGCACTGCGTAAATTGATGGTGCTATATAAGTACCTGAAATAAATAAAAGTCCATCTACATCTGTACCAACCCTCCAAGACTGACAGTGCTGCTGTCCAAAGGCATCTCCACTGCTCCCCCATCCCAAACACAGACCCCAAACGTCCAGCAATCATTGGTTACTGGCCAGAATACAAGAGGTGGTAAACAAAAAAGATTTCAGCTTTCCAATCAGATGTGGTTGTTGCAGTAGTTTAGGTTTTTCCTCATCTTCACCTGGCGATCTTGGCGAGTACCATCTCCAATATTAGAGTGCCTACACTCTTGATGGGGGGGGGGGGGGGGGGGGAGGGGCACAACTTTTAGACAGCAGCACAGTCTTTGAAGGGGGCCCCGTTTCAGTTGTTCTAGCAGAGTTACATACGATACATTGAGCTCCAGCTTCATAAGCAGTTACAGCAGGTTTTTTCCTTTTGATAAAGGTTTCACAGAAGTTAAAACCTGCTCATTGTAAGCACCCCCGTCAGTGGTAAATGGATTGCCTCATCTCTAACTGCTACATCTGCACGACAGATTGTTCAGTTGAAAAAGAACAGACTTGCTAATCAGTGACAAAAGGAAAGAAAGCCATAAGTTGGGAAGTGGCCAACCCCAAGAATCAGAAAGCCTGCAATATAATTGTTATCTTTTGCGTGTAATACTGTTTTTATGGAGGAAAAAAAACAAAAAAAAAAAAGAAAACTAATGCAGCCACCACATTAAGGTCCAGTGAGCTGCAATGTGATTTATGTTTAATAAGTGCCAAGGATGCTGTAATCCCTGGAAATGATTAAAAGACATCAACACACCAAGTTAAAAATAAAAAAGCACAGCTTCCATTCTAAGTATAAAAAGGACGTAATAAATAGTCGTAGTGGAGATGGATGGGGTGCAGTGCCCCCTGTGCCAGGAACCAGGAAGGAGCACGCTGCCAGGGATGAGGAGGGCAGCACCCGGCCATGTACAGGAAGGCTGCCAGCAATCTGTGCCTGTCATTAGTTCCAGGGATAACACCAATGAAGCGCCTCAGCCCGCCCGGAATACATCAAGACAGGCGGCCTCCGGACAGCCTGTCCATAGGAGCACACAACCCCCACACACAGGCCTGCGAGCCGTCCCCAGTGCGGAGCCAGGCCTTCCCCGGAAGCCTCCTCACCTTCTAGCAGCCGCTGGATGATGCTGTCGATGTTCAGTTTGTCGACATCAGCCATGACCTCCAAAGAGTGGACGTGCGCGCGGATAGACGGGGCTAGAGCTGCAGACAGGAAACAAAAAAAAACGGAAAACCAGAAAAAAGGGGAAAAAAAAGGGGGGGGCTGCCGGCTCGGGGTCTCAGGCTAAGCCTTCGCCCTGCTTCCGTTACAGACTCCGAGCACACAACAAAATGGCGACGCCACCTCCTCCTCTGCCGGCCCGCGCACGAATCTCTATCCTGCTATAGGGACTTTTTAATGCTGAAACGAGAGCACGTCTATGTCACAGCACGCCGCACGCTGGGTGTCCTGCGCCAAGGGTTCGCCGAGCTCAGCTGGTTGGTGTGGGCGCGCACTACTTTATTGGTATAAATGAAGAACGCGGAAGAGCGTCGTATGAGAAGACACATAAAAGGGATGAGAAATGTTCTACAGCAATAAACTGCTTCTTATTATACACTTTAAAAAAAAAAAATATTATATAATATAATATATATATATATATATATATATATATATATATATATTTTTCTTTTTCCTCATGTTTGTTATAAATCAGTCTTGGTAAGCATGTTTCCTATGCTTACATAAAATAAAAGGGATGAGAAATGTTCAACAGCAATAAACTGCTTCTTCGTATACACATTTTATATATATATATATATATATATATATATATATATATATATATATATAATATCTATTTTTTTTCCCCTCATGTTTATCATAAATCAGTCTTGGTAAGCGTGTTTCCTATGCTTTCATCACATAAAAGGGATGAGAAATGTTCTACAGCAATAAACTGCTTCTTCGTATACACATTTTATATATATATATATATATATATATATATATATATATAATTTATTTTTTAATTTTTTTCCCCTCATTTTTGTCATAAATCAGTCTTGGTTTCCTATGCTTACATCATTTTTATATTAAAGTCATTTTAACCCCAGTTTTTGTATGGTGTGTAGTCTGCTTCTTGAACATTTGTAAAAATTCTTTCCCTGTCCAAAGTGCACTGACAGTGAATCCACCTCCAAGTGATTCCACCACTTCAGGAACACAGCAAAAGGCTTACTAAATATATATGACCCCAAAATTATAGAGAAGTCACATATCGCGTGATGCTGTAACAACCATTCATAGGCAGGACTTGGACTTCCATAAAATAAAGACCCCCCCAGGAACACTATGAAGAAGTATATAGCTCCGCCCTACGAGTTTCGTCAAAGCTGATGTCTCTCGTGCCCCAGAAGACGATAATTTGTGATGAAATGCATACAGTTTTGATGAGGTACGTACAGTGATGTCACCAAGCAACTGGAAGTGCAATTCGGCCATTTTTATATGTATTTGTGAGTGCAATAATTGTGTGGAAAATAATAGTTGTGTGGTGTAGATATTCATTTTCTTGTTTTGTTATAAACAATTTTCTTTATTATGAATATGTGATAAATGGATATATGTACATTGTATTGGCACTGCACTATTCAGTATGTCAAAACTGTAGGAGCCTATTGATTCATGTACCCTTATCTCCCCATACCTCCAAATTTTCTGAAATGATTAGGAGCACAAAACATATAAGTAAGGGACACATCACCATCATGCACTGATTACAGGGACTATGAAGATCTAATATGCAGAAAATGATTAAAAGCACAAAACATATAAGTAAAGGACACATCATCGTCATGGCACTGATTACAGGGACTATGAAGATCTAATATGCAGAAAATTATTAAAAGCACAAAACATATAAGTAAAGGACACATCACCGTCATGGCACTGATTACAGGGACTATGAAGATCTAATATGCAGAAAATGATTAAAAGCACAAAACATATAAGTAAAGGACACATCACCGTCATGGCACTGATTACAGGGACTATGAAGATCTAATATGCAGAAAATGATTAAAAGCACAAAACATATAAGTAAAGGACACATCACCGTCATGGCACTGATTACAGGGACTGTGAAAACCTAATATGCAGAAAATGATTTAGAGTACAAAACATATAAGTAAAGGACACATCACCGTCATGGCACTGATTACAGGGACTGTGAAGATCTAATATACAGAAAATGATTGGCTACACCACACAAGCGACTTTTTAATCTCCATTTTTACTTTCTATTGGCCTTTCAGAATAACAAATGCAGTAATATAGGGGCTGGATAAAAAACTGAGTGCAGTGAGTTACTTTTGGAAATAAAATAGTACATTTTGTATAGAGATGTACACATCAGACCAAAAAGAGGGAGAACTTGGAGCTATAACCCCCCTTTGCTAAAGCCTGCTGTTGGCTGACCTCATTCAGCCTGTCCGGGGTTTCTGGAAAGATCACGACTATATGGTCGGGATCCGCCCATAAGCCTGACCGGCAGCTGGCTCAGCCTCCCAGTATGTGGATGAGAGCCTGAGCCTGTCCCCTCCACAGCCCAGTGCTCTAGTGACCACTGGAAGGGCAGAGCAGATAGCTGGTGTGTAATAGGTCTCTGCTCAGAGCAGAGGGGGAGACCTGAGCAGTCAGCGGTCTTTGATCGCTCAGTTCTCAGTGTAGAGGCGGTAGTATAAATGTATTTTTTTTTCCAACGTCATACTTCTGTTTCAACATGGTTATGGTAGTAGATAGATGGATTGAGCTTACCATCCACTCGATCCAGCTGTGTCATTCTTTCCTTCTGGTTTCCATTTTTTCCACTGGTAATACTGCCAGTTTCTTCACCTATTATTTATTGATCTATTTTTTACAGGTACTTTTATAGCACTTTTTGATGTTGATTATTTAGGAGTGTTTTCATTAACACTAGTATAGTCAAGCATCTAAAAGCAGAGTTCCACCCACGCCGTCAAAAAATAAAAGTCAGCAGCTACAAAAACTGTAGCTGCTGACTTTTAAAAAACAGCCACTTACCTGTCCCTCGGTGCTGCAGTATGTCCCCCACAGCCGGCCGGCCTGTATTTCAGAAGGCCGGCATCTTTGGTGTGGGCATCCAGCTGTGATAGCTTGCGGCTTCACAGCCGGGTACCCACTGCGCTTCATGAATAGTCCTGTAGTTTTCTGGGACCTGTCACGTGGCCCAAAAGACTACAGGGAGGGAGGACTGGACATGGGAGCAGGTACGTGTCAAATTCGGGTACCCACTCCCCACCCCACTCCCCAAAGGTGCCAAAGGTGCCAATCCTTAATGGGGAGCAGGGGAGCAGTCCTTAAAGTGGAACTTCCCCTTTTGGGTGGAGCTCCGCTTTAAGGGGTTTTTTACACCTAGCACAGGTATGTTAAATTTTCACTTACAGTGGCAAGAAAAAGTATGTGAACCCCTTGGGATTACGTGGAGTTTTGCATGAATTGGGCATAAAATGTGCTCTGAACGTCATCTAAGTCACAACAATAGAAGAAAACAGTCTGCTGAACATAATACTACACAAACATTAGATGTTGCCATGGTTTAATTGCACATAACATGTAAACATTCACAGTGCAGGGAGGAAAAAGTATGTGAAGCCCTAGCTTAATGACTTCTCCCAGAGCTAATTGGAGCCAGGAGTGAGCCAACCTTGACTCCAATCAGTGCGATGATATTGAATGTGTTGCTGACAGCTGTCCTGCCCTTAAAAAACACACACCTGTTTTGGGTTTACTGGTTTCAAGAAGCACTGTCTGATGTGAACCATGCCTCGCAGAAAAGAGCTCTCAGAAGACCTACCATCAAGAATTGTTGACTTGCATGAAGCTGGAAAGGGTTACTAAAGTATCTCCAAAAGCCTTGATGTTCATGTGTCCACGGTAAGACAGACTGTCTACAAATGGAGAAAGTTTAGCACTGTTGCTACTCTCCCTAGGCATGGTCGTCCTGTAAAAATGACTGCAAGAGCACAGTGCAGAATGCTGCATGAGGTAAAGAAGAATCCCAGAGTGTCAGCTAAAGACCTACAGAAATCTCTGGCACATGCTAACATTTTTGTTGACACATCTACAATAAGGAAAACATTAAACAAGAATGGAGTACATGGGAGGACACCACGGAGGAAGCCATTGCTGTCCAAAAAGAATATTGCAGCACGTTTGAAGTTTGCAAAAGAGCACCTGGATGTTCCACAGCACTACTGGCAAAATATACTGTGGACAGATGAAACCAAGATTGAGTTGTTTGGGAAGAACACACAACACTATGTGTGGAGAAAAAAAGGCACAGCACACCAACATCAAAACCTCATCCCCACTGTAAAACATGGCGGAGGGAGCATCATGGTTTGGGGCTGCTTTGCTGCCTCAGGGCCTGGACAGATTGTTGTCATTGATGGGAAAATGAATTCCAGAGTTTATCAAGACATTTTGCAGGAAAACGTACGACCATCTGTCCGCCAACTGAAGCTCCGCAGAGGATGGGTGATGCAACAGGACAATGACCCAAAGCATACAAGTAATTCAACAAAACAATGGCTGCAACAGCACAGAATACGCCTTCTGGAGTGGCCCAGTCAGAGTCCTGACCTCAACCCGATTGAAATGCTGTGGCATGACCTTAAGAGAGCGATTCACACCAGACATCCCAAGAATATTGCTACACTGAAACAGTTTTGTGAAGAGGAGTGGTCCAAAATGACTCCAGATCATTGTGCAGGTCTGATCTGCAACTACAGGAAATGTTTGGTTGAGGTTATTGCTACCAAAGGAGGGTCAATCAGTTATTAAGTCCAAAGGTTCACATACTTTTTCCTCCCGGCACTGTGAATGTTTACATGTTATGTGCAATTAAACCATGGCAACATCTAATGTTTGTGTAGTATTATGTTCAGCAGACTGTGTTCTTCCATTGTTGTGACTTAGATGACGTTCAGAGCACATTTTATGCCCAATTCATGAAAAACTCCACGTAATCCCAAGGGGTTCACATACTTTTTCTTGCAACTGTATACAGTATAGCACTGTCAATTTACACAGCATTTTACAAAATATATTGTACATGTACATCAGTCCCTAACCCTCAATGAGCTTACAATCTAAGGCCCCTAACTCACATTCATATACATACATACTAGGGCCAATTTACACAGGAGCCAAATAACCTACCAGCATGTCTTTGGAGGGTTGGAGGAAACCAGAGTACCTAGAGGAAACCCATGCAGGCACAGGGAGAACATGACAACACTCCCTAAGAAGGAGCAAAATTGTCACCCTAGGATGTACGTTCCCTGTGGACTCCAAGATGA